AATGAAGTAATGGAATCCACCTCTGGCTTGTGTATTCATTGGTCTACATACATCACTATGTATTAACCCCAATAAATTACTTGCTCGCTCACCTTTACTATGAAAAGGAGCTTTAGTCATTTTTCCCAACAAGCAAGATTCACATAAATCATATTGTTCGAAAATAAATGAATCTAAAAATCCATCTTTATGGAGTTTTGATATGTGTTTCTCACTTATATTGCCTAAACGACAATGCCAAAGATAAGTTTGATTCGAGTCATTTATTTTTGATCTCTTAGTATTTATGTTATAAATGATGTTTTCTTGATCCAAAATACAGAGACCATTTACCAATTGTGTCGACCCATAAAAAAACACTATCGAGATAAAAAGAACAACAATTATTCTTAATAATAATCTAACAAATCTTGTCCAAACAAGAAATAGAAATAATGTTCTTAGTTAAACTAGGCACATAATAGCAATCCTCTAAATTTAAATCAATTCCACTAGGCAAAGATAAATCATATGTCCCTATAGCTAATGGAGTAACTCTTGCTCCATTTCCCACTCGTAGGTCCACGTCTCCTTTAGCCAGATTCCTTCTCTTTTGCAGTCCCTGTATAGAAGTACAAATATGAGAACCACAACCGGTATCTAATACCCAAGAAGTAGATGTTGACAAATTAACATCAATAACATAAATACTTGAAACAAACGTTCCGTTTGCTTTTGCCTTCTTGACCTCTTGAAGGTAAAAGGTAGTTTCTCTTCCAGTGTGCAGTCTTATCGCAATAGAAACATTTTCCTTCTTGGGTAACTCCCCCTTTGGGTTTTAATGCATTTTTCCCTTTTGGTTTAGTCTTACCATTGCCCTTAGACTTTGCCACTACTTTTTTCTTTCCCTTTCCTTTGTCCTTGTGGACCATCAGAATGGGCTTAGGTCCAACCTTTTTCATGTTACTTTCAGTAGTTCATAACATGCCAAGTAACTGTGGTAAAGTCTTGTTAATTTCATTCATGTTGAAATTAAGGACAAATTGGCTAAAGCAATCTGGCAATGATTGCAGGATACAACGGTAGCCAATTCATCTTTGAGAGGAAATGCCAACTTTTCCAACGTTTGGATGTAGCCCATCATCTTGACGACATGAGCTCCTATAGGAGTTCCCTCTTCCATTTTGCATTGAAATAGAGCTTTAGAGGTCTCATATCTCTCTTGACGTGCTTGCCCTTCATATATTTCTTTGAGATTTTGAATCATCTCATATGCAACCATGTCCTCATGTTGCTTCTGAAGCTCAGGAGTCATGGTAGCAAGCATTAGACATCCAACATCTAACATATCATCCATATGTTTCTTGAATTTGTCTTTGTCAGCTTTTGAAGCATTAGCTACCGGTTCATCAGGAACAGGTTTCTCAATGACATATTCATTCCTTTCCTATTTGAGAACAATTCTCAAATTACGAAACCAGTCAAGGAAGTTTATGCCATTAAGTTTATCCTTCTCAATGAGTGATCGCAATGATAAAGTGTTGTTTGCCATTAAATCTACAACAATGAAAATATTAAAGTAAGTAAATTTACCGAATTAAAATTTATAAATAGGACTTTATTTACAACTTACTCCCACTATTTTATTCAAAATTAAAAACCCTCTTTGTTTTAATTTCAGAAAAATTCAACAAATTTTTTTCTAGTGGGTGAGGATCCATAATACATCAATTTCCTAAATCAGCTTTGGCTTTTCTTTTAGGATAGTGATTATTTAGGTAAGTAACACTTGACTAGTTACATCTCATGTAAGTTCTCATTTTGGTGAACAACTTTTGTTTAAGTCATCTCATGACTTATCCAAATATTTAACCTCTAGGTTTCTAATCCTATTAGAATAACCTAGCTTAGTTATTACCAATATTTCAACCGGTGAATATCATTTGCTTATTCTTTGCGTTTAACCAATATAGATTTATGTGCCAATGCTTTGGCAAAGCCCACACAATATCGATCAAAGCCTTAACGAGGGTAAATATTGGACGATTAAGTTAACTTAGATTATTAAGAGGGATTTGCATAATTATCTCATCATTTTTCATTTTAATATTAGACCTTTATTGATCTCATCAATATTTATTCTTATTTTATCATTTGATGCATTGCATACATAACAAATATAACAATAAATAAGATGCAATGGTTATAGCCCAAAACAATGACTAAGGTGGCTCATCCCAATCCAATGGGAGAACCAAGAACCCTAAAGCCTAAGACTGCTCTCTAGGAATCTTCTCGCCATTCTTCTGCTCCTTGTAAATCTTCATAGGTTTACAATTTTAAAAGAAACTCGTTTTACATACGAGGGAGTAAGAAAAGAAGAGAAATACAACAGAGATATAGAAAGGCAAGGCTCGCAGATCGTATTTCACATTAAACCATTATAAAGTGAATAAGGGCTATAACCATGCGTGTCAAACACCATGCAAAACAAACATATCATTTATATATATACACGTTCTTATGCCTTTGTTAAAAAAAATTAATATGGGCCTTCAATTTGTACTGCTGATGTGTGTCAAGGGGATATTTTAAAAAATAGTACTTCTATTTCCATGGAAAAACTTCACGATTTGATAACAATTATCAACAAAATCGTACTTTTTGGATTTTTAATCCCGAAGGTTTTCTGCATTGGAACAACCATTGTTCCATTTCCAAACGCGATCTGCTATCGCACTCACACATATCATCCAGTAATAAATCGATTGAAAAACATATTAACATATTAATCTTTGTGGTTATCGATTCGAACAATGATATCAACATATTTACCGAAATCGATAAAACTAGAACATGCATCTCATAAATATCACATCAACCAAAAATGTAACCCAAATTTAGACCGTACAAGTGGCTCTGATGCCACTGTAGGGACCATCGACGCACCCCATGGCGCAGCGGAAACAACTCGACGGTCTCACCAGCAATCCAAGTATGAAAAACTGAAATCGGGAGGAAGAGATGCAAATAATTTCAGTGGGTTCCTTGAAAAATAGCAAGGACAACAGTGAATACTGGTGGTGTAGATCAGTTCGAATCGTAAGCCTCCACAAAATCACGTCTCGGCCTCTACTCAGTTCACCCGATTGAGAGCAATTCTGTTTTCCCCCAAAACCGTTTTGAGAGAAAATGGCTGAAGGTTTTTGTGTGTGTTCTTCCAAAACGGCTGCTAGACCTAACACACCATTTTATAGCCAAGTTACCCTAATCATATTACGGTTTCTATTATTTCAAATTAATTAAATCTATATTTAATTAATTGGAATTTAATAATCCTTTTATATCCAAGTTACCCTAATCATATTAGGGATTTTATTATTTCAAATTAATTAAATCTATATTTAATTAATTGAAATTAAATATTCAGAATTATTAAAATATATACTTAATTAACTCTAGATATATTTTAGTATCGTACAACAAATTGTACATCTTTGCTCGTTTCAATCCTAGGGTGTGACCCTATAGGTTCTTGTAACATTAGCAGTAATTATTAGAACAATTCTAAAATTACATACAATGAGTGACATCTAGCAATATATCATTGTCACCTAAGTTACAAGAAAATATGATTCGACATATCATCTTGGTGATTAACGCTTTTATGTATTACATCCTTATGTCTTTTATATCTAGAATAGGCACAAGTCTTGGAATAGTCACACTTGTATAACCCATCTATTGTTTCTTGATATCTAGAGTAGACTTTAATCATGTATCAATTCATCATGCATGTTGGAATATATCTTCAATATATGTTGGATAATATTGATCTCAACTCTGAAGATCATACATATAGTCATCACCATGAGCAATGTTATGATTGTCACATAATAATCCAAGACATATGCTAATGGTGGGTCAATCCAATACATTGTTCTCTAACAATATAATCATGTATCAATTCTGATATCTCTATGCCAATGACAACTCGTCATCAATCAATAACATGTTAGTCTTAAGCATATTATTATTGTCCATGCCCATATATATGGACTTTATTATCTTCCAGTTTATGTTAAACACATATATATAATTGAAAATAATAGCGACAATGCTTTTATTCAATAAAATCGGTAAATAAAATTATTAATACAATCATCATATGATTGGTCTTTGGGCATACTCTAACATGGAATTCCTCTTCACTCTTCCTTCGTTTTAGATTAGGATCCATGGGAGTTTTTGCTGATTTGCACCCGAGCATATCTGTCCTAGTGTAACCTCTATTTAAGAGGACAATGTGAAGGCAATAAAGTAAGAAGTTGTAAACTTTTTTAAAAGTATTACGAGATCTTATTTATGAGTATTTTATATTATTAGTAGTCTTTCCTTAGTAGGAGATTTTAGAAACTCTTTTAGTTGACCTAATTTAACCACTATTCAAGAGGCCAATGTGGAAGCAATAAAGAAAGAAGTTGAAATTAAAAAAAAAAAAAACTACGAGATTTAAGATTCTCTCGAAGGAGTCTAAGGTTTGGAATCTCCTTCTGGGTTCCACTATCAATCAAAACACGTGATCCTAACAATTTGGTACCATCGCAATGAATGAGATTTCTTTTATGGTATAATTCTTTGATCTGCCTTGTTAGCTACATGTTCTATTTTTGCAAAATTATCTGCTTTCTTCCATCTTTTAATTTAATAATTTATAATGCATTTCATTCCCCTCTTTTTTTTCACTGTTTAAATGTTAGTTCTGGTTGTTTTCACCAATAATGTTTGTTTCAACTTTAGGCAGTTTGTTTGACGCTTTTGTCTTTGTATGTTAGCCGATGGAGTTTATTATTGTTTCCTTTTGCTTTAGTTGCCATTTCAGTCGATACATGTCATAATGTGATATTGCTTTCATATTTCATGATTATGCATGGGGTACTGTTTGGCTGTATTATGAGAATTTGAAGCACTCGTCTAAGTTTCTTACAATAATTTGATATGTACCATTACAGCGGGTGCAGGATCGATCCAATGGAAATAAAGGGGGAGCCACACAAATAGCTTCAGCTTTAGCTGCCTTATCATCCGCATTTAATCCTTCATCTGCTAGCAAAATCTCTACTCCAAAGCCTTCAAGAACTGGTCAAGGATCGCAAAGAGCGGCAGCTGTAGCTGCTCTTTCTTCGGTTCTTACTGCTGAAAAGAAGAAACAATCACCTGATGTATCCCCTGCAAAATCCAGTAGCAGCACCCCTGCAGTAACCAGCCCACCTCGTAAGAAACCCCTTCTTCTCTTTGGAAGTGTCGTCTAAAAACGAGCAAATGTTTTGGGCTGATTCAAAAGGAAGTTGCTAAATCTTCTTGATGCAACTACTGATTAAGTAAATTTGACCCCGTCTTTAGAGTATAGTACTGAAATGTTATCTAACGCATCTGGATTGAACAGCTGAAACAAAGAGTGAAGTGGACTCTTCTGAATTAGAAGAATCTAGGTTCCTGAAGCCAAGGAGACTGGTGTATCTGAAAACAATGGGGAGGATTCTGAACCAAAGCAAGAGAGTGAGCTTGACGAGAATGGGAGTGGAACCACTCAAAGTACTTTCCGTTACGAGCAACTGAAGGCCAAATCTGAAAATCCTGTAAGTGGAATTGATTTCAAACGGAGAGAGGTTTGTCCCACCTTTGACGTTTTTAAGTTCACTCTATAACTTCTGAATATATTACCATTCTCACCGTTCCTTTTCTCAGGCTTATTTGTCAGATGATGAGTTCAAGACAGTATTTGGGATGGAGTAAGAAGCATTTTATAAATTGCCAAAGTGGAAGCAAGATATGCAGAAAAAGAAAGTTGAGTTATTCTAGAGAATGAATGCATTGTATGCTCTTCCTATTCATTCCATCAACACTCCATTGAATTTGATCTTCACTTCTGCTCGAAAATTTCAACAATGTCGGAATTTCACACCCGCAGTTTAGAATGGAAATTAAATCAACCGTTGATTTAATGTTATTCTTCCCTGGTCACTTTTCCCTTTGATAGTATACTTTTAGGTTGTCTCTAAAATCTTGTTTTTAAATTATCCCAAATAAGTGTACATTAACCTTTATTTTATTTTATTAAGTGCAAATCCTATTTGATTGATATTAATATTAAAATAAGTCACATAAGCAAATTGTTAATGAAATGATGATCGAGTGAATTAAATTAAGTCACGTAACTAAAAAAAATTAATGTATAAAGCTTAATTATTATGATTATATAACGTAAAAATAAATAAAAATGATAAATAGTTGATGCTCTAACAATGCATAACTCTTTGAAACATTAGTGGATTAGATGCTGGTGCATCAACAAGTATAAATTTATATGAAATTAGTTTTAAAAGTTCATTATGATGTGCCATTGTTGGATTCACTGATAATGCATAGGATTATACTACGTAAATACACCAAACATTAATCTATAAAAATTCAAACATAAATGGACTAATTTTAACTTGGTTATCTTATTTATTTATTAGATGTTTAATTTGATAACAATGTTTCAAATACAAATTTACTAACTAGTGTCAAACCCACATATTTAGGTCCACGACATATGTGTAAGTGTTCGTTAAAGAGGTTTTATGAGGAGTATCTGGCTTGCTAAGCCCACCAGACTTGGCACATTACTTGAAGAATGCTAGAGAGTACATTTACACTAGCCTTGCAAATAAGGAAAGTGACATTATATAAGATAATGTCCACAGTGGCTGTGTAGAAATGATAAGGGAAAACAAATTAGAGAAGATTGTGAAAGAGTTTTGCCATACAATGTGAACTCCAAGGAGAGTTTCATACTCATTGATGTGATTACATATGATTGATTTAACTTCCTTAGATTAGAGGATTTGATATTAATTGAATTGTGAAGTAAATCGATCTAGGCCATTAATTGAATGAGAGCTCAACTATAAATAGAGATCCTTCTCATCTTATTTGTATCATCTCATTCCATCCATTCTCTTGAGAGTGAAATAAAGCTCTAAGAATTTACTCTATTCTCTTTGTTCATTTCTTTTTGGTTTTAAGTTCTCTTCTACTTGTTCCTCTTTTGGTGGCTTGAGTAACCACATCTGTGTTTACACTTCAACATAGGTGACCAACCTTGGTGGCTTTCATAGTCCTATTGGTGTTAAAACTTTCGCATCCATCGAAGCCTTGAGGGATTGGTTCTATACTTTGGTGGATTTTCTCAAAAGGTGTGGTTTAAGGCTTACTTAGGTGCGCAAGCAATGAAGAGACATCCAGAAGAATCTATGGTTGCATGCCATGTTAGATCAAAATAGTAGGGGGTGGTAAGTGATATCAAAGCAGTCATTGTTATGGTACATTGAGCATTCCGAATGTGTTTTGTGAAAAGTGGTAAATTGGTCAAATAGAGAAGACTTGCATTTGAGCCACTTTGTAGTTGCACTCAAGATTGGTAAAGATTTACGTTTGAGATAGTCGGGATGATCAAGCTAGCCTGTGGAAAATGAGGAAAGAGATGGCATGCGTAAGAGGTGGAGTTTCCATAGCGGGAAATAAGAGAAAAATGCTAATGGATGAGGTACAACAACCTCTAGATGAATTTGACAATATAAGTTTTTATCTTAAATCTTAGGTAGAAGATGATAACTATCGTTTTGATGTCAAATAAAATTCATTCTTCTCAGTTAATAAATAAGGAAATTCGTAGGAAAAAGAAGTAAGGGTTAATCCTCAAGGACTTGGTAAAATTCCAAATTTATGTTTGAAGGATTTTAACCAGGTGAAAAGTAGTAGGTGTTTTGTTTAAATTGTGATTAAGTAGTAAAAGATATTAAATATATGAAGGCAATTAAAGTAAAAATAGGAGAGTAAAGATTGTAAATGGATATGGTAAAAACAACCTTAAGCTTCGCTTTGACTCAATTTCTTTCAGATCATCGAATTAGATTTTCCCTTCGGGATTCACGTTGGTTACTTTGTGATGTGATCCCAATCAGCCCTAACTTTTTTCTTGATCTAATTAAATCATTGAAGTTCACCAAGGCTGATTCAAAGGGGGTTCTACCTTACCTCATCCTATACCTGCTTATTTATGCACTATATTTTATCATATGTTTTTATTTACCTCTTAGGATATGCTTATCATATGATATCATTCATTGCATGAATTTGCAAGACATTCATTGCATTTAATAAGTATGTTGTTCATTTAAGCATGCATTGCATTTAAATCATCTAGTTCATTTAGGGAAGTAGTTCAATTATGCATATTTAGATCATTTAGTAAGCTACTTCATTCATGCATCTAGTTCATTGAATAAAGTTAGTTCATTAATCAAACTAACTCTTAATTATCCCATGCATATTTACATGTTATAATTGAATAAAGTTTATCTTTGTGTTTAGGTGCAAGAGGAAAGCTGAACAATCTTAACAAATGCAAGAATATCAGTCAGAATGTATTCTAATTCTGGATGCAATACATATATTTTTGGGTCCAGAAACCAATTGGACATTATTCCTATATCTCTTAGCTTTCCAAAGCCTTTTGAATCACCTCAATCTGATATCAGGAGCTTGAGATATGATCGAATTACCAAAGAAATTGTAGGCTGGAATTTTCATTACGGGAATTTCATGCATGGATTATTTGGATGACTTTGAACGAAGGAAGAGTCCTTTCATCTTCTAACAAGAGATAAGCAATTGATGGCCATATTAATTCACTAATTCAAGGCATTCAAGGTTGATGTTATCACCCATTGAAGGCCATTCATGTTCAAGTAAGGGGACATGCAATAACCATCATTCAAAACATAGCATTCAAGGCCTTTATTATCTTTTGAAGGCTGGTCATATTCTTCAAGGGAACAAGCAATGAAGGATGATTTTATTTCATTTAATCACCAAATTATGTGATAAAATAAGTAAGGAATTTGAAGAGACAAGCTGATTTGTACATGTAGGATGTCCACATTCATCATATGACTTCATTTAACCTCTTTTATTCCATTTGCAAGCAAAGCAATGCAGCCCAATAGTCACCCCTCCTTCTTGGACGAAATTAAGGCCATATTCAGCTTCAAATTATCTAGATTCATCCCCAAAATGATCTAGAATATTCATCCAACTTTGAAGATAAGAAGACAAGGCATTCAAGTGCATTTTATTGCTAAATTGATGAGAATGTTATCATCTTTTGAGTATTTTCATATGCTTCTTAGAAATACTATAAATAGGCACCTTTGGAATCATTTGTACACACCATTTGATTTATGAAAATACTTTGAAATATTGCTTTCATTTTAGTTATTGGATTAGAACTCTATCGATTTCTTGTCGGTCTTGAAGCCTTCATCCATTTCATCTTGTTATAGCGTTGGTTCCTAGCACTACTATAGCTAGTGGGTCACTTTCCACCCTCTATCACTTCGATTTCATCTTTATTATATTGGTGGTTCCTAACTCATATATAGTTAGAGGGTCACAATCCATCCTTTCAATTAATATCATTCTTCACGCCAACCACAAACATCCTTCACCATTTTCATTACATCTATTCAACCACTATCACCACCACACTTCTTTCATTTACAATCCACTTCTACTTCATTCTATCATTTCCATTATTTTCATACACATATTTATATATACATATTTCCCTTCTTATAACGTTGCTTGTACATTTTCAGTCTTCAATCAAAGCACTGTGAAGTTCTTACTAGAATTATGATCGGGCAACATCTTATATGACTCAGAACACATAACCGGGATCATATCACTTTGTCTAAAAGGGAAATCTTCGTGACTATTTTGTAAACTGAATACCCAAGGAAATCTTTGATTCTGACTTCGAAAACTTATCTAATCAACATCAATTGTCGTAGATCAATTACCGTTTAAGTTCGTGGCAACCGACTCGGATTGTTACTTCAGTAGCTGCTAATTTCGATCTCATTTCCCTATTAGCGAAGCTATCTCGCAAAGTGTGTTCCCAGGAAGTCGAATGTTCTTTCAATAAGTCGATCCTTCCTCCACATATTGAATCACAACAACCTCTTGATCAAATTCAATCCTTGATTTTGAAAAATAAGCACAGAGGTTGAGAGAGATATTTCGAAGTTATTAAGGGGCCTATTTCAATTCTCCTGTTGGAATTTGAGTCATCGCTTCAACTCTTGGCTTAGGAGAAAATTAGTTAAGCATGACAAAAGTCATACTTAGCATATTTAAAAACAAAGCTTAAAAATAAAGGAAAACTTGACAATTAAAATAAAAGAGAGAGCTTTAATAAAACTAGAAAGAATAAAAAGATTGTAATCTGAGTTGAGAATTTAGGCTTACCAAGAGAGGGTATTTATAGCCTCTAAAAGCATAGAGATAACAAAAAAATTAAAATAAAATAATCCTAAAGATAATTATTTTTCCTAAATTCAAACTTTAAAAAAGTTTCCTAATGCAACTCTGCTCGTCCATCTTCCAGAAGGCGCGCATACTAGATATTCTAGAAACTGTCACGTCGGACTGTGTCATGCCAAGAGTCGTGCCCATGTCTCCAGCCGTGACCTAATAATAAAAAATTGCAGAATGCACCCATTTTACCACTAAGTCTAGAAAGTAAGATCCTGCACAAAAACAAGTATAACACAACCAAATCAACAACAATAGTTCCATAAGATCGAAAAATTAACGAGAAAATACTATTGATTCTGAATACTCATCAGAAGAACTGAGGGAGATCTTAACATCGTTGAAGGAGAGGGTCAATAGACTTGAAGAATATGAGGAGAAGGCCAAAGAGACCTGGGGTGTTATGAAGATAGGTTCAAGGACGAGACACAACGATTTCTCAACAAGTTGGAGATTGTTCATGGGATTGGTGTTCATGAATTCGAGATGAAGGCTTTGAGGATGTGGTAGAT